TTTCTCTCTCTTTATCTCTCTCTCTCTCTCTCTCTCTCTCTCTCTCTCTCTCTCTCTCTCTCTCTCTCTCGACTTTCCATTTGTAAACCAGTGTACAAAGGATGGGTAGTAATCATCTTATATGATACGCACATTTTTTTTTTWATGGTATTTGTTTTTCTGTTTGTCGTTTGCAATGTACACTCCTCTAAAACATAGGAGTCGACAGGTGCGTTGCGAAATCAGAAAAATGTGAGCTACATGACAAAAAAGGTAACGCACCTGCCGACCTTTGCAGCATCGAAGAGGAAAACGGTGCCACGACAGGAACTATTGCAACAATATAGAGATAGTGACAGATAGGCAAGGATTGGGAACTGGGGGGCGAGGGGATGGGAAGGTGAAGGGGGGATAGGAGGCAGAAATGTTTGCCGTGCTTTGACACAGACGTGGCAACATCACCCCCGAAGCATGCCTATTCCTTGGCACGTGGGAGAAAAACGCACTGTTGCCATTACGTAACAATGGAGAAAAATAAAATGTACATAGTCATGTTTTTTAAGAAAATGAGAGAAAGTGGGCAGCAATGAGAACAGAGACACACACTACAACACAATGGGGTTTAAAGTCCGAAAGAGAATTTTTTTTTTGGTAATTTGTTTTAAAGTTGGACAAGTGTTTATTGTGTTTATAAACGGTTGAGGCCATTGGTAAACAAATTTTAAACTGATTTTCAACACAAGCTCAACGGATTATAAACAGCTGATCTGATGCCATCCCCTGGATTCATCGTTGCATCAAGAAAGATTTCCATGGTTTTCCATGTGTTCATCAAGAAACCCTCATTAAATTTGTTTATAATCTGTTAAAATCCAGATTAAATTAGTACTTCTCCCTGAAAATTTTTGTTGTTTTCAAGTTGTATTTTTTTCTGTTGGATGAGCTATAGCACTTGAGCAATGGCTATGTCCTATCTTGGCGGGGGGGCCGAGACTATGTTGGATGTCACAACACATGTCGATTTGGAGCCCGTGCGTACAAACACACAGGAGGGGATATCCCAGGCGGAGATGGATGAGCAGATTGCCACCATCTCCAAGGACCCCATCGACTCTGTCGAGCCTGCCAGTCTTGCGGTGGTGTCTGGTCAGCGTGTTGCCACAGGGTGTCCATACCTTAGGGATGATGGCTAGCGTTTGATGGCATGGAGGATGATCCCCGACTTCCAATTCCGATAGAGATTGACGAGGAGAAGTGGATGGGTGGGCAAACGGGTGATGGGGCCAGGGATAAACAGTCGGTTGTCGAGCGTGAGATGATGGGGGGGGCAGAGGACAAGTGAGGAGAGTACAAACCTGTCGGATCCACGTCCGATGAGACGTGCGGTGCTGCACGGACTGATGCGGCCGCCACACGAGGGCCGTCGGCGGACCCCTCCTCGCCTTCGGCAATCTCGCCGCCTTTGTAAGCCTCATCAGTCGCCACCACTAACCCATGAGAGGTCAGTTCACCACCTTTGTGCCCTTCGTCGCTCCCGGCACAGTTGTCATCAACGGAATCTTCGCTGCCACCAGCAGCATGTCCACCACCAGCAGCAGCACCACCACCGACAACAACAACAACATCACCGCCTCCAACCTTTTCGCCGCTAACAACCTGAGGGGCTATATCAGATTTGGGGAGACAGTCTCCAGCACCGCCCTCGTCCACACCATCACATGACAACGAGGACCAGCCACTTCAGAGGCATTGGTGTGTGTGTGTTATAGGGATCGATATAGCTCGAGAACTTAGGTTAGGGTTGCATGAGCCTGATGTGTTGCAGCTCCACACTGGAGGCGTGGCCAACGTTGACGATGGCACAAAGATCAATGTCAAGAGCGCCACTCGTCTTGATGATCACGTGAAGAGCATTTTCATATGGATGCTGTGGATTTGGAGGCTTTCATCAGGGATGAGGTGGATCTACTTGTGGAGGGCATCACATTCGACCATGCCAGGGAGATCGAGGCGTCAGAGTTGGAGGGGGAGGATTCCCTGTACGGCACGCCGTTCAATTTAGGAGCATCAGTGGGCCTCTGCCCGTCGACTTAAGAGGGTCATGCGGTCCATTGACGGATACCAACGATCCAATGACGAATGGTTGGAGACAGTGGTGGAGAGTTAGCTGAGAGTTGTTGAGTCTTCGAAGTCCAGACGCGACAGGGAAGCCTGAGAGGTTGTGGAAGCTCTCACACGTGGTTGTGCGCATACACAGGAGCACACATGAGTTGTAGACCAGGCAAGGGCGGAGACAGGTGAGCGGTCTGGCGGTCATCGTGATAGCGTGTGTGATGGAGGCGGTGGTGTTGGGTGAGAGAGCGGGTGGACGCGACTCACGCGAGGAGAGACCACCGAACGAGATTTTAGCAGGTGGAGACACCCCTGAGAATGCGAGCGGTTCTCGTCAAGTTGTACGTTTTTCTAGCCCGATGGTAGCTGCGGTGGCACACACGCAAGCTGTTGTCATGAGTTGCACGTCATTGCACGTTCTGGTACCACCATCGATTGTTGAGGATCTCGGGGCTGAGATGCTGGACCTTCAGGCAGTATAGAGACCCTTTGATGCAAACGACCTGGCAGTTGCCGCCCTGCATGGAGAGAAGGTTAACAACAGTCGTATTTTTCACCACCACTTCAGGACACCCTTCACCACTTTAGGATGCAGCCTGCCTAAACAGGTGGTTTTCAGGGTCTTCGGACCTTTCACCACTTCAGGACCATTCAAGTCTGAAAATCCTGAATGGTCCTGAAGTGGTGAAAGCTCCAAAGACCCTGAAAACCACCTGTTTAGGCAAGCTACATCCTCAAGTGGTGAAGGGTGGTTTTCATGGTCTTCGGACCTTTTACCACTTCAGGACCATTCATGATTTTCAGACTTCCCAAAACTCTCACTTGACCACTTCAGGACACCCTTCACCACTTCAGGATGCAGCCTGCCTAAACAGGTGGTTTTCAGGGTCTTCGGACCTTTCACCACTTCAGGACCATTCAGGATTTTAAGACTGCCCAAAACTCTCACTTCATAATTTTCATTCTTGAATTTTCAGCTATCCGATAACCGCTTGTGCCTGCATGATGTAACCGGATTGGACAACAGGATTTTACGCGGACCAGAGGAGAACCACCCTAACTGGCAAACTATTTCGCCAGTACCATGGGGACTGGCGTCTCCTGCACCACCCACACCCACTGCATTTGCATCTGGAGATCTCGTTGTGAGCACATGGAGATTTGGAGCATCCACCGGACAATATGAGCAACGACCGCCTTCATTGGACATGCCACCCCCTCTTGACAGAGCAGAGGAGTGAGAGAGACCACCTACCTATCGGAGTCCTATATTGGCATCAGAGGCACGTAGGGGCGGACGGGGGAGACAGCGTGACACGAGCGACATTAGTCCAGACCAACATTTGTAGGTCGGCACTGACATTGACTTGGATAACATGCGGAGGGTCACCGAGCACACATCTCGTCGGCGCCCTGGATTGGGAGCGACTGACTCGCAGAGGAGTGGGGCAAGGGATGTCACTGCAATTTGATTTCGGCCACGAGGAGAGGATGTCGGCAGGGGTGGGGGCGAGGAGACGAGTGAGGTGCGTAGGCGGGACAAGACTTTGGAGCACGCTTTGTGAGTAGCGGAACATGCTGCACACGAGCTGACTCCCTAGTGTGTTGTGCAGCCCCCGACCTCCTGCTGTACGTGCGAAGGGAGGTTCCGTGGTCGGTGAGTCGTCAGGTGCAGAGGGATTGCCTATGCCACACGATTCACGATGCATAGGTGTTGTAGAGGAGGTGACTAGGCGGGTGGCCAGAGCGACCAGGGAGCGAAGACTGATTACCATTGAGGAGGATGACCACAACAACAGTCTCGAGGAGGACTTTGAACCCGATGAGGAGGACGGCGACGATGAGAGTGACGACGACGATGAGAGTGACGACGACGATGAGAGTGACGACGACGAGCCCCCCCCTCCACCCAGACGTCAACGACGAGCAACTAGGCAGGGGACAAGAGTCTCTACTGCCTGGGGGAATGTGGCCCGAGGGCGCAAGGGTTCTGGGAGAGGGTCTTGAAGGCGAAGGGACTATAACGACTTTCTTTGACGAACTTCGCTTTCCCCGGTTTCTCGTGCCCTATCATGCGCATGGTGTGGATGACGACTCTTAGTTGTACTATTGTTATACCATAGTTTGACAGTTTCATTACCACATGTAGGGAGTGGACATGAGGTCACGGTCTTTTGCACAGTGGTTTCATTGTTTTATTGCGTGTGTGGAATCTTCCACATTGTTTCTTTATTTTTTTTCAGCTCTAATAGCGTATCTGTTGTCGAGACGACACGTGCTTCATCTCTACGTTCGATATTGTTGACTTTATAGGGATGGCGCGAGGCGGTTCATAGTCTTTCTCATGCACATATGTCATTATCACATCTTTTTGTATCTTTACGATGGATCCAGAAGTTTGTGGCATTGAGTCATTTCTCGATCTGAATGTCTGTTATACCTTAAAGGAAAAAGCGGTCCGCGCGTGACGCTCCCAGTGGGCCCAACGAAAATCGGGGTGGGAGGTCCTCGCGCGGTGCCGCAGGGGACCGAGGAGGGCGCGTTGGTTGGGGACGGCGACAATGTTCAGGGGCGGCGCAGTGCACGTCGGTTGGGGAGGCCAACTTGGGGAGGGGGCCGTGTGAGCGTGTCGGGCCGGGGGGCGCAGTGAAATTCGGGCGCGAAGGCAGGGGACCAACAACGGCGCGTCAGTTGGGGAGGGCGGCAGTGCATGTGTGCGTCTTCGTTTGTGTGCTGCTGATGAGCGCAGCGACAGTGGCTTGGCGGATGTTTGGGCCGGTGCGCGGAAAGCGTTGTCGTGCGCATCGGTCCGACACTGCACAAGATAGCGCGAGACCCTCCCGGCCGCGTCACGCAGGAGTTGGTCTGTTCCTCGTCGCGAATACATAATGGAGCTTCCGCAAGCCGCTCCGGCCAAGTGCGCCAGCCATACCTCTCGTGAGCCCCTACGACAGGATAGGACCTACGTGAGGCACGACTTACCTCCACCTTACGGGAGCTGTCACCTTCCTTCGATGGGCGTATCCCCGCCGAGCTACCAATCCACAATACGAAAGTTGATCAGCTACAATCGCAGAGGTGGACCAACCGAGGGTGTTTCTCGTTCGCTGTAGCATAGGGGGTACGCGCGGTATCACGCCTCTATCAAACCCGCACGCGAACCAACATCTTGGGGGGGTTGAGGTCCCAAGTGCGACTCGTCGCCGGTCGACTAGGACGCATCCCACACGCCATACGCACA